AGTCATTTAAGAATGCCTCCTTATATCCCAAGGTAGTTTATTGCCATATGATAAATAGTTTTCTCAAGAAAAATTCATTACTTGCTTTCAGAGCTGCTACACCAGAATACCCCCTTAAATATCCTGGCTAATTAACACTGTAACTTTTCAATTGTCATAAGATAAGCCGACTGTAAGAAGTACTACATAATACTGACTAATCGTTATTTTTTTATTTTTTTTAATAACTCCGAAATGTGCATAATGTATATCTTAATATAGATTAACATTACATGTTCATTGTGTATAGATATTGAGTATGATATTAATAGTATTACTAAGGGAGATTCAGAAATACTGATTCATAAATATCGCGTATCAGTCTATTTTAGAGTATTTGGAACACAGAAAAAATAAGCAATATACATAAATTAGTGCTAGTTCGAAAGGACAGATGTACTGGTAATTAATTATTTCGCGAGCTCTCAGTTTATGGATTTAGGGATTCTGGGAGAGCACGAAAATCACCGACACTACGGAGTGTATCAATAATTGTGAGTCACCCTAGTACAGTCAATAGTAGATGCATGAAGTATTACGAGGCAAAATTTATGTCGCGTCGAGTAAAGTAAACGCACATCGATATCGACTATGCTGTATACACTTTTTACGACCTTTCATACGTTTTATGCTGACAGCTTTACAGCACATTAGTGCCTGTATATTATTTGATAAAAAAAATGCGATTACTAACATGAAAATGTGAAATACATACTTACGTATTACTACGTATTATTACAAAAATTAATCTATGAAACGATTAATTAACATAAAATTAACTACTAACTTAAAAGATCGAATCGCTATATGTTCAAATACAATCGAGCATCAAAGATTTGTTTATAAATATTATATATAAAAAGTAGTAACAAAACAACGTGAAAGTAAATATACCAGTAAATTACAACCTCGGATCGACTGACAGATTTAAACATACTCATGCACAGTACAATGATCATTATAAAAATAAATCAGTTTAAACGGTGTTACGTAAATGGGTAAAAATAGCATTACTTTGCAATCCTTAAACCACATCTTTGGTTACAAATATCCTTAGAGATCCAACGCCAACAAGATCTAATCATTTTCATGAATTAATACTGGCCGAGGACGCCGTTTCTTTTTTTTTTTCAGCCGAATAAGAATTGATAAACGTCAGGGCACTCGGTGTAGATCGCCGCAGCGAGTGCAAGAGACGGCAGGTGCAACGGTTCCGCCGTGGGCTCTTTCCCGTTGAATCCATCGACTGACCTCACGTATGCTAATTGTACGCGATTTTATCTGCACGCGAGCTCACCATTGCCGTAATATCAGTTAACAGCTCCGATATAGGACGCGGGACGCTCGAGAGGAACGTCTATCGATCACGCCGGCGAATGAAAAGCATTTTTCTTTTTGAGAGCGCTCGATTTACACAGTTTTCACACGCGGCCGGGCATTCGAGTTCTTGTTTCGCGGTCGCCGGACGGTTCAACTGGAGAACACGTTGTTCGCTTCGACGACCCAGTTGCTGATCCATATCAGCCGCGAAATCTCGGCCAGCTAGAGGCAGTAAATGTCAGACTTCGCCAGGCGATGACCGGAAGCCCCGGTCTAAGACTGCTGACCGACCTTCAAAGAACCTCTTATCGCCATCCTCGGTGCTTTAAGGGTGTACACGCCATCTTGTAGGCCTCAAGAGAATAGGTAAAATTAAAACATTCTTTTCCCATCTAATTAACGAGTAAAATATTAGGATATTTTTAACGGTTGTTAAGCAGCATATTAACTTTATTTTCATGCGTTGGTTATTATTTCAAATTACAAAATGACGGAGGTATACAAGATTGTCTACCGTCATGTCTGGCATGAATTTGTCAACTGACACCCAGCAGATCTCCGAAACTATTCGTCCGATTAACTTCTAATTGAGTCCATTCAAAAGAACTAACTTTGCCATGTTACTCCTCACAACATAGCTTATGATTTTGGAATAGCTTTGAAAAATAGGGGAATAACAGTTTTAGAAAGAAAGAAAATATTTCTCACTGGAGAATATCAGCTTTGAAAATGCATAATAATTCAACAAATGACAATATTAAAAATATTTAACGTTACATAATAGATAATTCTATAAATAGTTTCATTGTTCTGGAGATTTGCTGGCTGCCAGCGAAACAAGTTTCTGTCAGGCATGACGTTAGACAATGTTGCATAACTCCACGATTTTGTAATGTTAACATCCCCTAAAAAGATCCCAATATTTTACTCATTACTTATCTGAGAAAAAATTTTAAATTCACCCATTTTTTTAGGCCTACAAGATGATGAATTCTTTTAACATTAAAGGAGGGATTACTGTGTTCGACAGCGATCGCGACGAATCATTCGGAAATATCTAGGTGACCGGTTATTGTTACAGATTGAAACATCGGTACTGTGGATAAACATAATAAAAAAACATCTTGTAAAATGAGGTGTATATTCGTGATAGGCGGTTGTCAACGCTGGAGAAGACGCGTGAAACGTAATTTGGTTAACGTTGGTTCACCTTGGATTTAAAAGTTCGGGTCTATAGAGAGATTGAGAAAGTGAGAACCGGACGAAGTGGTGGTACACACAGTGTTTCGAAATGTGGGGAACATTACTTCAACAACTGGCCATGAAGGAAGTTCCATATACATTTTTCTTCTTTGAGCTTGCTCATAAGTGATATTAGTTTTTCTATTGGAATCGGGTTCGTTAGAAATTGAATTATATAATTGCTATTTCAGTGTTTCCTCGATTAATGCAACACTAACAACGGCGCTATTCCCACCACTGGAAGGCTCCCCTTCTGGAATCAATCAAAACAGAGTGAAACCTTTCACGCCTTGCCACGAATGCTTGCTCTGAAGTGGACCCGGGTCCGTCGCACTCATCGAGACATTACTGTATTCGGCACTTTACATTCTGTGTAAGAAGTACCCGGAATTATTAAATAAAATACAAAAAATTTATTTATTCATTAAAATTTATATTGTCGCCTTCAAAGTAGGCCCCATCGAGTGCAATACAACTATGCCAGCGCTTGACCCAATCCTTCATACATTGTTCGTAGGCTGATTGAGGTATGGCCTTCAGCTCCTTCAGCGAATTTTCTTTTATGGCCTCAATTGACTCAAAACGCCTTCCTCGAAGTGGTAATTTTAGCTTCGGAAACAGGAAAAAGTCACACGGTGCCATATCAGGCGAGTACGGTGCTTGGTCGATAACATTCGTTGAGTTTTTAGCCAAAAACTCTTGCACAACGATGCTGTTTTTGGAGAAAATTGAGCTCTTTCGGTACCAGTCGTGCGGCGACCCGTTTCATGCCCAAAATATCAGTCATAATGTTATGAACGGACTTAAAAGATATGTTGACCTCTTCAGCCAACTCTCTAAGACTCATACGACGATTTTCGAGCACCAGCTTCTTGATTTTGTCGATGTTTTCGTCGTTCGTACACGTCGCAGGTCGACCAGAACGAGGCAAATCAACTACCACTTCTCGGCCCTCTTTGAATGTTTTATACCATTCATATGCCTGTGTTTTTGACATGCACGATTCACCGTAGGTCTTCTGCAACATTTTCAGTGATTCGGCACACGAAATTTCGTTTGAAAGACAAAATTTAAGGCAAACTCTTTGTTCAACTAAGTTGTCCATTGTAAAAATCGCAGAACACTCAAAAGTTTGGTTAACAAAAACAGCTGCTGTCAACACACTAAGTGACAGATCGCGCTCAAATTCCCACGTGGTACTCGGTACAGTGCTACCAACTTATAGAAAAAATTTTGTGGCGATATCTTTTACGAACATCTTTCAAATGATAAATTCCGGGTACTTTTTACACAGAATGTATATCGTTAGTGTTATTACATTTAGTGTACCATCTTTTTGCTTAGAACCTTTTCATCGCTCGAAATATTTTACAAGAACGTTCGCTAGATTTCTAGTGAGAATTATTGAATCAAAGATGTTTGTAATTCGAGAATAAGATTCCAAAGGACATAATGAGACTATGTTTTCCAAATTTCGAGGAGACTTGTTCCAAATAATTAACAATTGGTATCTAGATCGGAGACCTATGTATACACAAAGTGTTCGTTTTTAATATCTAAACATAAAAACAGTACCATTGCCACAAATGGCACCAATAATATTATTAACATAATTCATAGTATTACAATTTCAGTGCTATTATGGATTATTAACAAGTGTAACAATACTACAATACAAAAATTAGTAATATTCCAATATACCTCCTGGTACACGCCAAAACTTAACGAGAACATACAAAAACCGAACGTTCTAACAATAACTAACCACAAGTGTCCATATAACACCACCTTCAGTTCTCTCAAAATTACCTAAACTATCAGATGATCTTATAAACAATATCCTTTCTCGCTTCAGTGGTTCTACGAACAGTGGACATAAAAAGTTGAAGAAATGGTCAATACGTCGTTACATAAAAAAAAGTCATAATTTGTTTACCCTGAGAAAATAGTATTGTTCAAGTCGTAATCATATGTCACTGTATTTAAAAAAAAGATACGCACGATCCACAAGGTTAAACAGCCAAACGTCAATGGCGTTGTATCGTGATCGCGAGGAAAATTGATCAGAACACGTGTGTTTTTATACTCCGTGACCATCTTCGTGACACGCAATTGCGGCAGTGTTGCTGTCAAGGGCATCGTGTGCATGAGATCTCGGTTCGGTCACGCCACAATATTCCTGATTATGTCGTGAAGATCCCGTAGTCGCGCGGAAACTACGGCTCCATGTGCTCGTACGTCGTCGCCCCCATAGGATTTCGCGTGTTCACCTGCGCCCGCGCGTAAACTTTGGCACGTGGCCCGACCAGGTGCGCAGCAGCGAGGTTCACGTGTCCCGAGGTGGCCACGGGCCGACGTTGAAAAGAGAACCAGCCCCGTGGTGAAAGTCGATCGAGGGGATGCATCGGTCAGTGAGCAAGAAGCCCTCCTATCTGAACCTTTGGCACGAGTTTTTGACCATCCAGCCAACGGTCAAACACTGGGCGCAACATCCAGTGAGTGGAATAATTTTTTAATTAGAAATAATAAAACCTACGATCCATACGAACGTGTGATACATTTTGCATTGAGTGGACGCACAAGGAATGTCATTTTTGAACTGTTTAACTACCTTTTAGGTACGACGCACAGTGGAATTGAAAAATCCAGTGACATTTTGATATAACTATTGAACCGTAGGGGATATTGATACGAGGTTTAGACTGTGTAATTTAACAATGTTAAGTTACAAGTAGGTGAAAGGAAAAAAAATTACAATAACAATTATATATTTTAACAGTAAAAACAATAACAAATAAAAGTTAAATTGAATTATATTTCTTTTACGACTAGTCAATAATTAATTCTGCTGGTTCGGCATCTAATTTTTTACTGGTTTTATTAGAACATTTTATTCGTGCTGTGGATATATACAGGGTGTTCGCAAAAAAACCGAAGAGGAAGAAGTTGTATTTTTAATATTTTTCTAGAAACAAAGGTGACCTTAATTTTTTTAAATGGAACGCTACATATTTTTTTACATCATATGAAAGCGGGCATTATGACGAGTTCAACTATGTATTATACTATGGTCTTCAGGGTCATACAAGGGCAGAAATAAATTCTCAGAAATGCATTCTTACTAATGGAAGTCACATTGAACACGAGATCTAATCTTATTATTACAACATACTAGTAAATACAATATTATGAAATACTTTGCTGTGTCTTGTGTATATTCCTGGAATACTGCAATATTTCTTCGATATGGAAATGAAATCACCTGTAATGTTTCGGCGATGGACGCGAACGTATACGCGTAAAATGATATGACGCTGACGACTTTGAACAGTAATAATTTGAAACGCAGGACGAGAATGGAAATGGTTCCTGCATTATTTTGTAGAGGAAAATATGTGGAAAACATTTCACTTTGTTGCAATGCGGGATTCTTTGGGACTTAAGAGATATACCTTATCAATTGTAAAGCAGTTTGAGAATTTTCTACATTCCATTCAGTATTGCTTCTCAAAGCTATTATATACAGTAATTATTAATCTAGGGCATGATTTCTTATCTCAAAAGAAAGCTCTTCAGTGAGAAAAAAAACGGAAGCAAAATATTTAACGAGATTCTCAGGCAACCTTGAAGATGAAAATAGTTTTTTCGTATGACAAATTCTAATTTTAAAATATCCAAGTTTAAGTGCTTAGATCATTTTAAATATTGTCATTTAGGAACCAATACATATTGATCAGATATTAATATTGGAAAGTTGATTTTTTGGCAAAATGTCACTGAATTTCTCAATTCCGACCACTGTGCGGCGGGACTATCCGCGGACCTGTACCGCTGTACGGACAGCTTTGCCGCGGACTGCAGGTAAACAACGTTGTCCGTCCGTTTCTCCTTATAAATTATGTTGAGAAGAGGATTTTTAGTCGAAGTAGATCTACCTGGATCGAAAGTTTGAATTTCTTATCAACGAATTAGAAGCACCTTGATCCTATGTTTTACCGATTTTCAGATGGCTAAATTGAAATGTGTTAAAAAAGGATATTTATTGTTAGACAACCTAATACGTGATTGTTTCGTAAGACCTGAATTTGATAGTTCAACATGTTAACTGTCAACATTTTTACTTTCGGGACACTGTCGCGTTGAAATACACCTGTTTTTATGTTTTTGCGAGTGAAAATATAAATATTGACATTGTACATTCGTTATCTAGATCCACTACTCTCTAAGTAATTTTATTTACGATGTTGTAACTGTTACTTGATCAGGTGATAGCAGCAACAGTTATCGTGTTAGCATGCAAAGGATGACGTGTAAAAGATCTATACTTCTTTTAGACGTTAATTTTAACCTAGTGTAACTGGACTTGATATACTGGTCGTGTTACGTGTTTCGGTGAACTGGAATGTTTGTTTAAATTTTGTAGTACAGAACAGTGTATAGAAAGAGAGTTATGTGTGTTTAAGGTAGAAATATCTAGATTGTTATATTATTTTCTTGTGTTTACATTAATTCTAATGAACTTTTGACATTGTGAAACTGAATGGTCAATTAATCTGGAAATAAAGAAAGAAGGAAACGATAGTAGTTTCGTATTAGAAAGTTTATTGTTCAGAAAAGGTCAAACTGGATCTGCTCATTCGGTTTAGATCTGCTGAAAGTGTAACGTGTAGGAAATGATAAGAATAGCAACGATCTTATCAAACGGTACCTCCTGAATGTAAGATGGGAAAACGTCGTCGATGTGCATTTAGGTCGCAATGAAAATTCATGCGCTCCCCGAGAAAACGCGAACGAGCCATAAGTATTGTCATTTTAACAATAAAAACGACTGGTACTCACATCGTAAGTACTGGTTAATTAAACTGGCGGAATAAATTATTATGATAATTGAACTGTCTAACGATCATACGACTATTAAAATATCTATCCTTTTATTGTGCTGAATAAATTGCTATTAATATATATAATAATATGCTATATAATAATAATTCATAGAATTTTGTTGAGATCCATTTAGAAAACTAAATTTAACATTATAACATTTTACAAGAAAATTGCATTTCTTTTCCATTGCCAATTTATATTGAAACTGTGAATATACAGGGTGTTAATTATAACTTGAGCACCTAAATAATTGCCGCTACTATTAAAAGTCAGAAAAAATGACTAAATAGGATGTACACTCACGAGCGAACTCGGCTTCCACTAGGGAAAAAGTGACATAGAGGAAGGGACCTTCTACCATGCTCCTACCACTTTATGAATACTGAATTACTGAAATTTATACCAAATTAACATCCGATTTAACATTTATTTCAGTACCTGAAATCAATTTATCAAGTGGTAGGAGGCCCTTCTCTTACGCCACTTTTTCCCCTAGCGGAAGCCGAGTTTGTTCGTGGAGGTACATGGTTTTAAAGCGTGCATTTGATGGTGATAAAATGTTTTTTACTTCTTATTACGTGTATTTACTTCTGCATTCTTCAAATTGAAAAAAAAATACGATGACCTTGAAAATACCGTTAAAACGATCTACACAGGATTTTTTGTTATCACTATCAGTGCTTGCTTTAAAACAATATACATCCTATTTAGTCATTTTTTCTCACTTTCAACAGTAGCGGAAATAATTTAGATGATCAAGTTAAAATTAACACCCTGTATAAAAAATAAAGTAAAATAATTGATTAAAATTCTTGATTCTTTTACCATTAAAAAATTGCAGTCAGTACCATCCAACACGATTTCCGTAAGTTTTTTAAGAATGTCACAAAAAAAATATAATTTTCGAATTTTAATATTTCGTCACTGGTTTCACCAATTGAAAATGCATTTTTCCCATTAACGATAATTTTAATGCTAACAAACGAAACGTAATGTTTTTCTTTATTTTAAGAAACATTGTGCTTTCATAATGGAAGAAGCAATTTTGTTTATAACATATTCATTTCACGGAAGTGCAACACCAATGATCGATCGCTCATCCCCACTAACCAATGTAAATTCGTAACCACTCGAATCGATTTTATTTTTGCTTTTTTTTAGCTTCGCTAGAGTCTGTTTCCATTGCCTATCAAATGTCACCTTTTGATAAACATAGTTCAGTCGTTGGAAACTGCCGCTGACATTCGCAACACAAAGTACTAATAGATTGAATTTAAACATCGAATTAGCGACGCGTCTAATACCACCCGGAAACGCGATCGGGCAAACCGAATCCGACAGTGGTTCATAGTGGGCGGCATTGAAATCTCTAAATCGCGAGTGTTTCACTATCGTTATAACTGTAATGATGAATGTAAGTTATGTTAATTAAATTGTTTCACATGTTTAATTGTGTACTATTAATACAAAGTCAAACATTTTGATTTGTATTAATAATTATTAATAAAAAATTAGAATATGTAATATTGTCTGGTCAGAGTGGATTTGTGGTGGTGAAAATGAATAGTTTTTATTTTTAAAAGTAATTCGATACGTGCGATAATTAAATTTTCTGTCGACGAATTGTAACATTCACTAAACAAATCAATGTTATTTTCAGTTTTACAAGTCAACTGGTATTATGAACGTCTCTACCGTGTTTCCGGAGGGATACACTGAAACAGAGAGACCATCGCGTCATGCGTCAGCGAGCGTAAAGGATGATGAAGAGGTGCAGGATAGATACAATCGTGAGTACTTGAGCACTTCAAGCTTCATATAGTTGAATTTCATTCGTTGTAATTTAATATAATACCTTGCGTATCATAACAGTAGTCTCTGCTTCGCATATTTTATGTCGAACAATCCTCGTTCATTCAGTCATTTATTCATTCATGTGCGAAATATAGACCGTTGAGTCCCATTGTGAATTACAAAATGAAGTTGCTCTACAAGCTGAAACTTTTAATTCTTAACTCTTGTAACTTAATTTATTTATTTCCAATTACATATTTAATTTTGGTTGTGTACCAAACACGTTTCCTATGAATGATTTTAAACTTTTGACAGACAGTATACATCAGAAAAATTTGACCATGGTTCTGTTCTATTTCATTTTATTCATCTTAAAAATTCGTTTTTTCTTTCGTTGAATACATTATATACCTAAAGTCGACCAATTGTCATTGAAGTGTATCCTGGTTATTTGTCGATATTTATATAATATTATATTATAGTTATTTATTTATGGTTTATTTGATATGGGCACATTAAGTGTAAAGTCATTAGCGACTACTTGTATATTATACTATATTATATTATATTATATACAGGGACCGAAAAAGTCATGGAACTTTTTAAGAGGTTCTGTTTAAAACATGAACCGTGGAACGTTTTTTAAAAAACGTTCTCACATTATAAGTTCTGATGAGGACAGATAAACAAAAATTCTTGAAAACAAATGTTTTCATTTCACTAGAACTTATAAAATATAAAAATGTAAATTTTTCTATAACAGGAACAGATATTTTGTTCATCAATATTAAAAAAGTTCTCAATCATTGTACCAAATAGTGAATACTGTTCAATAAATAGTACTACAACAATATTAAATAGGTAATTATATTACAATAATACTATTATAGTTATAATACTATCATGTTGAATAACAAAAATTAAATAGTATAATAATACGTAAATGTATTGTATTCGTATATTTTATTATAGAAATATACATAATTATATATATGTACATATTATAGAATCTCTATGTATTTCAATTCATTTACGTTATAAAAAATATTTCGGTATTATTCTTGACAAATCCTCTTTTCCGTTCAATACTTTTTATAAAAGTATTAATTACTTATGTTATGATTTTCATACCTTTCATTAAATAAGCATATGTACATATATGAAAATTGAACGGATAGAAATCCAGTGAATTTCGATAATAAAGACTTCACTTGTGACAACCATTTCCATTTGTGATAAAGTATAAAAAACGGATTACAATACTGTATCGGTGTCAAATCTTAGTAAAGCTCTAGAAGAAAATTTTGTCTAAAAGTATGTAGATTATGTTAGTATATCAGACATTTCACAATAGTACGTTATGATATTCCACAGAAACCAAAAAACAAAGTAATAAATATTTCCTGAAGTGAGCAGAAGTCGAATTTTTTCATCAAACAGTGACAATAAATAATGGAAAATGACAATTCGTATACCAAACGTTACTTATAAGAATCAGTACATTTTATTCGCTATATAATAATGAATCTGTTCGGCATTCAATAATGAAATTATACGAAATGCTTAAGTAACTCTGGTTTTCTCTACGTTACGTTAAGCCTCATTTTATTTGTCTCACACCTATTTTTCCTCTCGTGGTATAAATTTCCAAACGAAGGCAACCGATGTACGCTTGCGAATGTCATGGCGTGACTACATGCATATCGTTGAAGTTTCCACATAAAGTAGAGGCGTGGAAATGTACCAAACAAGGGACGCACGATACGGTATTGTAAAACCAGTTGCATACTGACGAGCGCGTTTCCGGTGAAAAAACGTGATTCACTGTCTGTTAAGCCGATATGCAATTATCCCGGTGGCAAAGTGTTCCGCAAGAGGTAGTCTTATTCACGTTTATACGAGCTATTAGTTGTTTCCAGTTAGATCATTAAACAATTACAATGAAATTAGCTGAAACGTTGCGTCCACTCAAACACACGTCGTTTTGTACCTACTACCCCCTGAGAAAATAACCGGGAAAGGCTTTCCACTTCGTTTAATTTCTTCGTCATACCTGGTATGCTTGGAAGTCATTGAATTGTCACGATTGCTCGACTTAAGTGGAGAAAATACACTGTGGTCTCGGATATCTGAACACCATTCATCAGAGTATCGTTCGTTTCAATCTTGATTAGTCGAATAGTGTCATCTAAATGTGTTTACATACATTTTTGGTCGTTCAACATACTGCTCCCCTCAGTTACAATGTCGTATCTAACAAATTATCGTTTTTCAAGATTTTTCGAAATATTTGGAACTACACATGCTTTTCACTTTTTGATTAAAGTTAGAATACCCTGAGGGCTTTGTAATTTATTTGTCCTAACTGCTTTTCAGACCATTTTACTAAGAATTTTATAATGTTCTATGTAACATCTACTATTTGTAATTTAGATACTCGTAAGTTATTGCTTGAAATTCAGTTGGGACATTTAATTAAGTACATAATAATTGGTACGTTAATAAAACATTTTATATAAATTATATAAAATTATAAGTTTTTATTCAAGCTTATAAATGGTCAGATCTCATCTCCTCAATTGTTGCAGCTCGTTCATTTTCTTGCTTCCTGAAGGTGTGTTAGAAAAATAATCATATATTTGTTATGCTACCGTAAAAACTAAATATGGTTCAAGTGACTCAATTTATCGAATGCTGAAATCAACTAATAAATTTATGAATATGATTGACTTCTTCAGTGGCTCTATTGATTACTTTAATGAATCTTAACATACGGCACTAAGAACTGTTTAATTTAAGTTAATGATTAATTAAAAATTCTCTATTACGATTAATTCCTTATTGTATACTATGTTGCTGTAATTGTTTTTAATTTTATTTTCATTAAATTGTTATGTATGTATACTGGGTGTATGACCGTTTAATAATTAAATAAATAAATAAAAATTGTGTAGATTATACAAAGTAATAACAAAATTTTTGTAATTTAATGAAAAACAAGGACGATTCAACGAAAATTATAAAATCTCATTTTTCTCGAATGTTTTAGAATGGTTAATTAGGACAATTGAACTAAGAAGGGCATTAGGGAAAACTTTCTGAACATGGGAAAAGGAATAAGTATTCTAAGTCGTTCTTATCATTTAAAAAATTTGATTTAAAGCTAATTACTGCACTTTTATGCGAAACCTTAACATTTACAAGCTCTTTTAAACAGCTCTAGGTATTCAGGTTTCTATTTGTACATTTATTTATAATTTCAATACGTATTTATTATATGTAATAAACACATATTACTATTATTTTCAAACACTTGTTGCTTTAGAAAGTATTTCTGAAGGGTATCGAGCACTGACAAGTGAAATCAATTTATCTGAAACAGTCACGCTAACAATTAGAAAACCATACCCTGTCGAAGAACTGAAACATTACCTTCTAACTGATTTTGAAATGAGTCATTGAATTATTGTTTGTTTTCAATCACCGAATATTAATTTATTTGGTTAGTGAAAAATAAAGAATGGTATATAATTACTTGATTGCCAATTTAATAAACATTTCACATTAACACAATGAGTAATAGGCATAGAATTGTGTTTTACATTGCCGTTCATCTCCCAACAATCGAATAATAAATTACTTCCTTTACTTTCAAACGCTCGTAATCGTTCGATTATTCGTGGAAATCGATTATTCGAACGTTTTTCTCCTCGATTAATCCTGATAATCAAGGTCCCACTGTATTTGAATTTAAATGAGAAGGTGAAAGTAAGATGAATATCCAATGAGCAAATCAGGATCAATAGGTCTGTGTAGATCGAGATATGTATACAAGAATGTGTTTAGTAAATATGTATTAAATATGTTTCATAGATATGGTATGAAGATAGCATGTATGTATTTGAAATTTATTACTAACTGCTGATTTATCGACAGAGAAATGACAGCGGAGTCACAGTTAATTCACAATTGATTGAAACGTTTCTCGGTAGATTGCGACTGTCTAGTTCAGATCTAAAGAATCATAAATTTTATACTATCTCACTATTTTACACATACATGCAATATACTAGTTATGGAATATGTAGTACAATTTTAATAACACTATTATGTAAACATTTTCTTGTTAGTAATATAATATTACAGTATGAAAGGATAGTTAAATGTGACCTTAATTAAAAGAACTGTAATAATGTAGAGCTATAATTTGATTTTTTATAAAAACAATGTTGGAAGATAATCGTAATAAACAATATACATTCGTGCATGTAATTTCAATAAAATAAAATCTGTTCCTCGATTCAACGTACATCAACGACACTGCAATCAGAGATCGTAAATCTTTGAAAGATCCAGTCAGATCTCATATACCGTAATTATATTAACGGCTGCTTATGCACTCATCGATCATTCTTCGTTTCGTGACCAATGTGTAAGTTTACTTCTTTGCGTGTAAGTAATTTTAAATCTTGCGAGATCAAGGAGCAAATTATACTTAACAATATTAGTATCTACTTATGTTATTCGTTTATAATTTAGAAAAAACTATTATGCTGATAATCCTTCAAATTTAATGGAAGTCATAATTCTTATTAGTTTAATTTTATATTCAATTTTTATATTGCTCATTTCTACTCCCGATAGATCGGTCATATAGCTCTTCGAAAAGGCTCACGTGCCCGACGACGCCTCAACTTGATCTCTGTCTCCCTCTCTCGTTTCTGAGGAGCAACTGAAATCTGGTACAGGTAGAATGATTCAGCCGCAGCATTTGGAAATTTCCAGATTTCACCTTGACTTTGATTGCACGTCGCACGCGAGCCCGATCGTGCGAATCCCCCCCGGATAAAACGGGCTGGCTACGTGTTAAGTGTACTAAGCAAAATCACCGCGGTGACGATCCCAGAATTCTGTTTACCGAGAAACCTCGCTCGTTCTTCGTTCATCGACGATCACCGTGTCCCGTGGAAAAGCGTCTAAAGACGTTTTTCATGTT